GGAGCAAGAAGCTACTAGTAACAAGGGCATCGCTACTAGGAGCAAGGTTGCTACTAGGGGCTTCTGGCATTGCTACTAGGAGCAAGAAGCTACTAGTAACAAGACTTCCACCGTTCTTCTGAGGCGACCCTTGGCCTCAGCTTTCTGGCGAAAGACAAACTCCACAAGGTCTTAGAGCAGAAGGCCATGAGTCTGCCATGAAACTTGGAGTTGTCGGCTCAAGTATCTTGGTGCTCACCTGTGTCCTGATTCGGAACACTTTCTGCAGTCTCAGGCTTCGTCATCGAAGCAATATTTTCTCCCAACAGCCAAACTCCAACCTGATTGAAACCCGTCGCCCGCTCACTGTAAAGTTGACAACTCCTGGCCAGGACAAGTTTATGAAGAGCTGGGACAGCAGGCAGAGGGGAAAGCTGGCAACTCCCGTGGTTTCAATGCGGCTAAAACGCTAAGCCCAACCCTCTGTACCGACGTAGCAGAACGATTGTTGCATATGGTGGTGTTGATTCTCCTCGGAGTTGTAGGACTAACAAGCTTTGTACATGGATGCTGGAAATCAAGTATATTCAATTACTAACCACTTGTGACTATCAACCCCTTGATGCCTGTCCATGCATCCTAGACAAAGCAAAGCTGTAAAAGTCTTCTTGACTAGCCTAACTCCAAGAAAAGTTAATATCCCTGCCGAAGCCCGACACATCAAAACTGATCCTGATCCCTGTCTTCCAGGGTGAAGGTTGAAGTACTTGTGCAACTAGTAGTTTGGTCAACTCGAAAAGATAATGCCGACAGAGACCCTGCGGTCATGATCCGTTCTCGAAACCACTTGCAGGTTGCACCTGGTGAGGCAACGGATTGCAGAGGCTATGGGGCAGGGTTTCTGAGCGAATCTGAAACAAGGCTGGATTTCAGTGTCATGGACTTTGTCATTCCCACCGCGAGGTCACGCTCACTTCGTTTTGGTGTTGGCAAATGTTGAGTCAGCAGAACTTGGTGTGCTTAGAATGCCTGGCATCGCAGAACGAGCAAATGTAATTTGTACTGTGAGAGCGTTTTGTGTGAGTTTCTTGAATTGCATATAAGACGCTACATTTGTGCATGCCTTCCTATGCATGCCAAAACTCGGGACACCTTCAACTCTTCCTTCGGCTTCGCGTCATCCGCGCTCAAAAGCTCTCAAGAACAGGAAGGCCTAGAAATATGGCATGCCCGATGCTGAAGTGCATGCTGCTGCATGCTTTGCCTAGTAAGGTGGTGTAATGCTTGGAGATTGCATTTCACAGCTGCAAGGTCTGAGATCCCTTCGAACAAAGTTGTTGCGTGGGTTCTGACGCAAGCAAGTAGTCAAAATAGTTCCAAAACAAAGTGACACGAAGCGACCAAACTTCTCGCTGACAAGACGTTCCTGGGTCAATCAGTGGGGTATCTTGTGCCCTCTGCCGACAGACATGGGACCGGGTCTTAGCACTGAGTTTGCACTCGTGACGCCGCCAGAACAGCAATTGATACTGGACCTGTGATTTTCCGATCGTTTAGATCTTTGGCGACCTTTGGCGACCTTTGGCGACCTTTGGCGACCTCACGGACCCACGGACACCGGATGAAGCCCAAAGCCTCCGTGGCCTCGGGCTGCGATGCTTCGTTTCCGAGGCCACGGGGTCTCCACGGAAGATGCCACGATCCTGCGAGGCATGGGGCGTTTGGCGAGCGAGCGCGGTCCGTGGCGGAGTGGATGGGTAGAGCTCGTTTTGCCATTTGCACATAGTGCTTCTATAACCACACTGAGAATCTAAATAAGATGCTTGGAAGCCCTATTTATTTGGTTGTGATTTGCAGACTAGATGTAATGTGGCCAACATTTCTTTTAGATAGCAGGTGACCATGCAGTGCGTGTGGTCCTCAAGATGTTAGGGGCTCTGGAAGATTGTTTGTTAGCAGTTCTAGTATGTCTTACACTGGGGTTTCTGTTGTCGCCCAGAGTCTTCGCACAAGACCTGGAGACCATGGCAGCCTCAGGTCTGCGGGTGTCCGTGGCAGCCTTTAGCCGTGCTGGAAATCACTTGGCCACGTAGGGTGCCCCAGGTGCCTGCTGCATACGTGCTAAAGACCCGAGAGGTTTGGTTTGATCACCTCGTTTGGTAAAACCACTCTATATGGGCGGGGTTGTCTTCTGAGAGGTTGCAGGTTGTGCGAAACATTTGGCATACCATCCACGTGCGTCCCAGAGTTGCTGTTAGAGTCTGAGATTTCAATTAAGAGTGATAGTGGGGTATAGTTGTTACTTTTTGGTGGTACTCCAAGTCAGGGTACTCCAAGTCAGCCACACCTTGGGCCTTGGCCAACTCAGATCGAGGGACCTAGGCAATGATTCAGCCAAAGGATCAAGGCTGTTTTCAGCCTGGCTTATCTTCCACAGAGGGGGCTAAACTGCTGCAAGCCTTCATGTCAATCAACACTGCCACCAATGAAGCAAAGACATTCCAGGATATGCATTGACCATCATTGACCCCATTGAGCTTCCAGAAAGCCGTCTGCACAACACAGACAGCCGGGGGTGTTCATGGATTCGTCAAAGGTTTTCTGACCTGTCCTGGCTTGAGTATTTTCCGCTTGGCAATGCTGACTTCTTGCTCTCCAAGCATACAAAGATTGCTGGATGCAGCTGCTCCACTGAAGGCGCGCAACAGTCGCAGCCTCCAAGGAGCATCACCACAGATGGGAGTTCTACCAACCAGTGCTGGATGCATCAGCATTTTCTGCAGCTATGCATCGCGCCGATGCTTGCTGTCCCAGAGGCAATTCCGCCTTGCAAAGGTCAAAGGCGGTAAGACCAAAGAGGCTGCTCCGGACTATACCACGTTTAGTGATGCTCGTTTGCTTCATAGGCCTAATTCTTATTCTTATTATAGAACTTGTGTAGCTTTTCTCCTTCAACACCCTTGTTTCAAAGGGTAGCGATACAGACAGATGAGAATCAGGTTTGGGGCGAATATGCCAGCTCTTCTTGGATTGAATTCAAAAGAACTGGGACTCAGAAATTCTTCATTCAGGATGATTTGATCGTGGTGGTTCAGAATGCTGACAAAGAGGCCCAAGAGTTGTGCACTACACAGATCGGCACAGATGCTTTGCTTTTGTCGCTGCTGACAGTCTCGGAGGAGGACTCGCCCAATGCTGATGCCACAAGAAAAGCTGCATTCCCTGGCATCTCCACTGAGCAGGTGAGGGTAAGCGAAGATTGGTACGGTAAGCAAGTTTATGTTCATGGGCTAGCTTTGTAAGATCGTACGATAGTAGCTTGAGTGTGTGCAGTGCGGGGGAGTTGTTGCAGGTGGCTTCTTACTTGCAGCAGCGCTCGCAAAAGGGTGCAAAAGGCAAAAAAGCATCAGGCGCGGCAGAGTGGGGTTGGGCACGATGAGGCAAGGATAAGACTTTGTACCAACAAGTGCTGGGCTCTCGTCAAGCCAAAGTAATGCTTTGAATTAGGTTAGTGACACTTAGTCACTTAGTCCTTGTCTGAGAATGTTGGAATCCCAATTCCAAAGTTCTTGACACAACTTGACACATTGGCTACAATGTGCTCCTCTTCTTCACGTTTGCAGGTGCAACTTCGAAGGTGCCGATGATGTTCACGCCCATGACGAGACGCTCCCTACAAGCTGCCCAGGAGGAGCAGGTTCGACTCGGACATGCAGCTGTGGAGCCTGCTCACTTGCTGCTGGCGCTGCTGAAGGCGAAGCTTCCACCTCGCCGAGATGACAATGGATGTGTTTCCTTCCTTCCTTCCTTCCTTCCTTCCTTCTTTTGTAGGTTCTTCAAGCAAGGAGGGGAGCTTCTTCGACCCCTTTGCATGGTCGATTTGGTTCGATCCTTTGGGAAACTTTGAGACTAAATCGGATCTCTTTCCTCTCTTTTGCTTCCTTTCTTCTGGATCCTATTTTTTCGTTGCGTCACGAGGTCAACTCTCTTTGCATGCTTGAACAACCTAGACGCTAACCAAAGGAAGCAAAAGCCGTTTTCAAAACTATACAAGGCTCGCCTAAGTGGACGTCACTGCACCTTAATTATACACCTGTTTTTACAACATGATGTCCAAGAATACAACATCCTTCAATAATACAATTTCCTTTACCTCCGAGGCACAATAATTAGAGGACTCAATGCATTTGGAGTTCTCTGGCGGAGTGGACCTGAGGAGCAGCGTGCACAGAGCAATGAGCTGCTGCAGCACTTCGGGCAGAGCCCTGAGGCAGGACGTGGTCGTCGGCAGAGCCGGGATCCCATGAAAACTCATCCCAATTGGAGGCGCCATGGGGTGCCTCATGGGGTGCCTCATGGGGTGCCTTTCGAAATGGAGTTTTCACACGGTTGGGTGCAAGATGGGCATG